GGACCCAAGGGGTCTGGCAATCCCAAAATGGTAGCCACTGACCTATATTTATTTTTAGTTTGACCCTATAGTGTTATTGATGAAGCCTCTGGAAATATAAATACACTTCTACCAAAGAAAAAGGAAAATTGGAACTAAAGAAAATAAGAAAAATTGTCCCACAATGTTAGTAACAATATCTACTTCTTATTTTTGGTGACAACCTTTTCCAGTGGGCAAAAAAGGCACTTCAGGTCACTCTCCTCCAGCGACCTCTGATTCTGTTTTAACACCTGAGCTTTTTAATACAGTTTGACTTTTAAATCTTATGTTTCACATATTTATTTCAAAAAATAAAGTTGACAAGGATAAAAAAATGACTACATAACAAAAAAAACTGAATACAAAAAGAAAGAAATGAATCTACCTTTACAGTAGTTCACAACTACACAGAGAATTAATTCCCAAAACTTTTGAACACAGTACTGATTGAATACACCCTTAGTGGGACATAGTCTGAGAACAAAAATACTCCAGAGAAATCACAAACTTTACTTAATGGGTTTGTAATTAGAAACGATAGTCGTATGGTAATTCTGAAACTATTTCTGTGTTATAAGGTTGGGCTCATGAGATCATCCATTGATGCTGCCGGGAAAAGGAGAAAAGAAACACAAACATAGAATGGGAAAAGGTGAGGAAGTGGGGTAGAGCTGGAACTAGCAAACCTGCCTTGATATATATTTATTGATACATTGATACATTTAAAATTTGGCTTTAAATATATAAATATTTATTTCCCAGCTCTGCCTACTAAGGACCCAGAAGCAATGACACGCCACGGGTGTAAACACCAAAAGATGGGGCGAACAGATATTATGTGCTTCCTGATGTGAAATAATAGGATGATTCCAAAAGCCATTATCGAAATAATGAGAGAAATCTGAATATGGACTACATGTTGGATAATATTATTGAATCGATGTTAATATTTCTTATATACAATAACAAAATTGTAGTCAACACAGGATGTCCTTGTTCACAGGACATGCACGCTGAACTGTTTAGAGGTAAAAATAAATGTCCTGACATCTACAACTTATTTTCAAAATGTACACTCATAAAGAGAAAGAGCAAACACATCAATAAATACAGGAAATGTGGGTGTTCATTGTATTCATCTTTCAGCTTTCTTACAACTTTCAACTTTCCTTTTCCTATCTGAAATTTCTCAAGATAAAAAGCTGAGGAATAAAAAGGGGGAAAAAAAAAACACCTCACCAGTCTGTAGTCCTGCCTCTGCCCTTGCTAGCTATGAGGCTAGCTTTTCTTTTCTTTTCTTTTCAACATTTTTTTAATTGAGTTTTAGTCATTTTACAATGTTGTGTCAAATTCCAGTGTAGAGCACAATTTTTCAGTTATACATGAGGCTAGCTTTTCAATTTAATCTCTATGCCTCAGCTTACTCACCTCTAAGATGCAGATAATAGTGGTATTTACTGTGTATATGTCCCTGAATGACTGAAAAATTGTGCTGAACACTGGAATTTGACACAACATTGTAAAATGATTATAAATCAATAAAAAATGTTAAAAAAAATAGTGGTATTTACTCACAGGTTATTGGAGAAATCAAATAAAATACGTGGAGACTGCTTAGCAAAACAGCCTAGAATATGTCAAGTCCTCAATATTACATTTGCTATCATCACCATCATCACAGTCATTATTATATAATCTCCATTCAAACCCATAAAGGTCAAATGTCACTCAACTTTATGTTAGAAGTCTGTGTTAGGAGAAGCCCAGAAGACTCGTGAAGGCTTCCACCCACTCCTCGTAGCAAAACGGAAGTAAAAGCCAATGACATGGCTCTTTGAGAAAATAATCTACATCAAGAAGAGGCCTCCCAAGTCCCAAAAGGGTCCTAAATAAATCTTCAGGATGTGCGATTACTTACTTCTTTATTAAAAATAATAATCATAAAAGCAAGTTCAGAGAGCAGTTCAGTTCTGGCTCCTGGAATGAGCCAGAGTAAGGAGAATGAGTGTAGAAGAGAAAGCCAATTTCTAGAAAAAACCTTCCCACATCTGCTCAGAGAAATGTAACAGGATGTCAGCTGCACTATTCAAAAAAATTTTAGACAAGGGGGAGGTATGGCTCAGTGGTAGAGCGCGTGCTTAGCATGCACGAGGTCCTGGGTTCCATCCCCAGTACCTCCGTTATAAATAAAATAACCCTAATTACCTCCCCTGCCCACCAAACAAATAAACTTACAATGCAAAAAAATTTTAAGACAAACTAAAAACAACCCAATGTCCAACAACAGAGGATTGGATAAACTGTGCTATGTTCATACCATTCAAATAGTAATATAGCCATTAAAATTAACAGTTAGATCCAGATGTACCAGCATAGAGCTCAAACAAAAGTTAAACTGAAGAAGAAGGGAGGGGTGCGGGGTAATAACAGCTCAGTGTCAGAGCGCGTGCTTAGCATGCACAAGGTCCTGCTTTCAGTCCCCAGTCCCTCTATTAAAACAAACAAACAAACAATAAAACACAAAGGTTAAAGGAAGTTGCAGAATACATACATGACAAGTAAAGCCATGGATATGAATTCTAAAAACACACAAGCCAACATCACATTGTTCACACATAGTACAAATGCAGTGCAAGTATAAAAACATGTTCAGGAAGGAGATATGCCAACCTCTTGATGGTGGTTTCCTCTGAGGAAAGAGGGAGGGGAATGGGACCGGGCAGGGGAACAAACGGGACCATAACTTCCTCAAGGGATGTTTTATGAAAAGAAAGTAGAAAAAGTGAAAAGTGAAAAAGAAAAGCGATCTTTTCTTAAAAAGCATTTCTTCCCATTCAGAAATCCACAGAAGGGAAAGGAAAAATGCCGGGAACTAGGCTCAGGATGAATGTCACCAGGACTGGTCCTTGTGTCTAATGGAATCAGGACTGAGCTTGGCTTAAGAACTTGTTATCCTCTGTTCCAGGTCGAGAGAGGAGAAAAGCCCACCCGCAGGCCCCGTCTGCTGGCCCCTCATGCCTCTCGCTCTCAGGGGGCCACATCCTTAGCCCCACGAGCAGGCCTGAATCACACCTACTCTGTGGGCCGGGGCGCTGGCGGGGCCTCAGCCACAGCGCAGAGGGCTGCCCTTCACACTATGAGTGAGGGTGGCAAGTCGCCCAAATGTGGGCTTAACATTTCCCACCTGGAAAACACTCCAAGAGTCTCTCTTTTTTCCTCCAACTTACCTAACAGAAAGTGTGAAGTCTCCGGGGTTACTTTTACTGGGCCGTGCCAAAAAACTGCCATCCACTCCTCTTGTCAACAGTAGGTTTTCCGCCTCCACGCCAGTGATATTTGGGTGAAACCATCTTGAGAGAGAGAGACAAAGAGAGCAATAAAAAACAAAGGCCTCTGTCAGGACTACTTTCCACACCATCATAGCTTAAAGAATGCCCATGAGGAGAGTAGCAAATAAAAATGCCAATACGACCCGTTTGCCCTCTTCTCCTTGGTCCCCAGCGCCTTCCCCAGAGTAGGGGCCTGGGATCCTGTGAGCACAGTGGGCGGGGGCATGGTCAGTGGGCCTGCGGCTGGAGGTATGGGTATGAAGCCAGTGCACTTGGTGGACCGAGCCCAAAAAGACAGTCCTCACGGCCAGGAGACTGAGCACATGAAGTGGGATGAAGCAAATAAGTAAGTAAATAAACAAATAAACCACTAAACAGTAAGTAACCATATTGAGAATAATGGGAGCCAGGTCTCTCACTGCTGGAGAGAGAGACAGACACATGGGAAGGGAGAAAGCAGAATAACCTTGTGGTAGTAGACTGCAACTGGAGGTATCAATGCAAACTTCAGTTTTTAACATGTATATGGAGATAGATACAAAGATAGAGAAATACAGCTGTGTGTTTCTGTGTATATTTTCCTAAGTCTCTTCTGAAAGGGTCTGGGAGCAATTTCACCCAGTAGCAATCAGCATACTCGGTACCCTAATCTTGGCTTCTAAATACTAAATACTGTTTTCTAATAAAAGGAACTGGGCTCCTTGGAGAAACAGCTGATTGCAGGGCTGGGGCATGAAAAGTAAGATGAGCTTGGAAGTCTTACTGCGCCACAGCACAAAAGAGCTCCAAAGAGCACATGTCAAAAGTATACAGGAGCCAGCTTGAAGGGCCTCCCACGAGCCAAATTGGGGACAATTTGTACCTCAAAATAAACAATGATATTAATAGATTATAACCCATTGAATTAAACAGGAAATCAAGTGTCTATGCAGATATTAATTTTTAAAAACTAATTAACGTTTCTCAAAAAATTAAGCATAGAATTACAGAATCTGGAAATTCCACTTCTGGGTATGTAACCAAAAGATCTGAAAGCAGGGACTCATATAGATATTTGTACACCCAAGTTCACAGCAGCATAATTCATAACTGCCAAAAGATGGAAGCAACCCAAGTGTCCAGAGACAGATGAATGGATAAACAAAATGTGATGATATACATCAATGGAATATTATTCAGCCTTAAAAAGGAAAGAAATTTCATCACATGCTACAGCATGGATGTACCTTGAAGATATTATGCTAAGTGAAATAAACCAGTCACAGAAGGATAAATACTTACGATTCTGCTTATATGAGGTACCTAGAGTAGTCAAATTCATAGAGACCAAAAACAGAATGGTGGTTGCCAAGGGCTGAGGGAGAAGGGAGAGGAGAATTACTGTTCAATGGGTACAGAGTTTCAGCTGGGAAAATGAAAATGTTCTGGAAATGGATGGTGGTGATAGTTGCACAACAATATGAATGTGCTTAAAACTGCTGACCTGTATGCTTACAAGTGGATAAAATGATAAAACCTTTATGTTATCTATACTTAACTACAATTTAAAAAATAAATGGGGAGAAAAGGAAAGCTCTTTGCATTAGAATTATAAAGAATCACATATAATAAGTATAGAAGGAGTAACAGAATTAGAAAATCACCATTTGGCAACTATCACCTTAATAGCTGATGCAAGAATCATCAGTGGATGCTAAGTCTAGTGGGTGTAATATTTTAGGAGGGACAGGGATTTACGGTAACTCAAAGTACCTCCCCACAAAATGCTTATTAGTTACTTGTTAATTAACAAGTTAAAAATACTAATAAACTTCACAGTGGAGAATTTGACAGATACTATCTTAACCAATTGATCAAAAGTTAACATCACCAGTTCTGGGTTAAACTGGCATTATGTGCCTCCTGACATCACCTACTGGGAAGAACACAGTACCATTTCTGAGATATTTCTGCCAAAAATGAATTACCTAATTCAATTATGAGGAACATCAGACAAGCCCAAAATGAGTAACACTCTACGAACAAACTGACACGTACTCTTCAAAAATGTCAAAACCATGAAAGGAGTCAAAGAACTATCCAGATTACAGGCCAGTAACAAGACACAAGTAATACAATGCATGATTCTTCCAGGACTGTATCATGGACCAGAGGGAAAGGAGGCAAAGGGAAAAGAAGGGTTTTGGTGGTGGTGGTGGTGGTTCTGTCTTTTGCAATAAAGAACATTACAGAAACAATTTGAAAAGGGGGTTGAAATTTAATGATAATGTTATTATAATATAAATTTCCTGATTCTGATGAGTGTACATGTGTGAATGTACTTGTTTTTAGGAAATACACACTGAAGTCCTTTGGAGTAAACTAGTCTCAGATGGTTTGGAAATAAAATTATATACACAGCCCATATATATATATATGGTGGAGGGGGTTGGGGGAGAGAGGAGGCAAACGTGGTACCATGTTAACTGGTAGATCTGGTGACAAGTAAACAAAAGTTCTTTTATAATTCAAGCTACATTTGCATAAATTTGAAATCATTTCAACATTTAAAAAAAGACCCACACAAATAACAAAGTCCACCAGGGATGACACTTCAAAGTTTTCCTCTCTAGTTTCTAGCAAGATTTCCTTCGTGGATTCCAAAAGTCACCAACATTTGTGGTAAAAGGAGTTAACTTCTAAAGTCAAGTTATCCTGGAGGGGGAAAGGTGGGTATAGCTCAAATAGTCGAGCACGTGCTTAGCATGCACGAGGGCCTGGGTTCAATCCCCAGTACCTCTTCTGAAAATAAACAAGGCTAATTATCACCCCCACCCAAAATAAAATAATTAAATAATATAATAATAAATAAATAAAATATCAAAAAAAAAATTAAAAAAAAAGTCAAGTTATCCTGGACCTTTATAGGCTAATCCAATGCTCCCAGGAACTTAAGTCAATATTAACTGTGGAGCCCTGCTACTGACAGTCAAAATGAACTTTTTGCAACAAACACTGGCCCAATTAAAGTGTTTACAAGAGTGAAGGAGAGCGATAATATCAGGTGAAAAGCTGTCATAAACTGAGCAGTAAGGACACGGAGACGTGTCCCACATAACCTACAGCATGGTGGCTAGGGCTCGGATCACACAGACCTAGGCGTCCATCTGAGCTCTACCTCTTACTGGCTCTGTGACCTGGGGGGGCAAGTTCTTTCCACCTCAGATTCCTCATCTGCAAAATGGAAATGATAGGTCTTAGGCTCACTTTAAGGATAAACTGATAATCCACACAATGGAATATTCTCTAGCCATGACGAGGAATGAAGTACTGTTAAACGGTACAATCTCGATCAAACTTGAAAACCACATGTTGCATGATTCCATTGATGTGAAATGTCAGAATAAGCAAGTCCACAGAGACAGAAAGTAGTACTTGCTTAGAGAGGAGGCATAGTCAATAGGTACAGGGCTCCTTTTGGAAGTGATAAAAATGTCCTAAAATTGTTAGTGATCGTTGCAGTATGTGAATATACTAAAAATCACTGAACTGCATATGTGTGAATTGTAAGGTATGTGAATTATAGCTCATTAAAGCTGTTTTTTAAAAAATAATAATAAACTGGGATAATAAAAGAGAGGGCTTACTAAATTCATTCATTCAACACTTAACTGAGCACCTATCACAGATGAGGCATCTAGGCACAAAGGACACAGCAGTTAACAGAGTAACATCCCTGCCCTCAAGCAGCTTTCTTTATAATAAAGGAAATAAAAGTAAATGAATAGAATGTCAACTGGCACTAAATGCTACAAAGAGGAATAAAGCAGCAAGAGGGGAACAGAGAGAGAGTGCAGTGGATGCTATTTATACAGGATGGCTGGGGAGGGCCTTGGCACTGAGGTAGCATTTGATCAGATCTGGAAGAAGTGAGGCAGCCACAGGCAGACACACAGGAGAGAAGCACACCAGGCAAAGCGAGGAGCAGGATCAAGGGCACCGGGGCAGACGGTATTCGATATGCTCAGGTACTCAACAGCCCAGTGTGCTTGAAGCAGAACAGACAAGGGACAGAGGGGTCAGAGATGAGTTATAACAATAAATGTGGATGAGTTTGCTATCTACCAAAAGAATCAACAGGTCTATGAATATTTATGTACCAAATAACACAGCAACTACCTTTGTGAAGCAAAAACTACAGGAGATCCAAGGAAACACAGATGGAAACACACAAATAATAGGAGACTTTAATACACCACATTCAATACAAAATAAAATGGACCAAAAGAAAGAAAGAGAGAGAGAGAGATAAAAAACCTAGACAATAAACAACAGGGTAGATCTTATACACATATATTGAACTCCATACCCTAAATAGAGAATACACATTTTTCTCAAGGGCCCAGTGCATTTTCATAAAAACTGACCTCAGATTAGGTTGCAAAGAAAACAGTACCTCCTATAAAGTAGAACTATTACACAATGAAATACCACACTGCAATAAAACTGAACTTTACTAACAAAACCAAAAAAAAAAAAAAGACAAGACCTTCTACCTGGAAATTTTAAAACCTCCCATCGAACAACTTCTAGGGTAAAAGGGAAAATACAAGCTGAAATTACACAATTTATAAGAAATAATGGCCATGAAAACACTTCACAACAGTATCCACGGGTTACATCTAATGGAGTGATCAGTGGAAAATTCACTACACCAAACACCAACATTAATAAAAAATATTTCCCAGCTCAAAAAAAAAAATCATTAGAAAAAGGATAGCAAAGAAGGAAATACATTTTATAAAGATGAAAACAAAAAGTAGTAGATCTAATTAAATAATCATCCTGCTTTTTCTCTTTTTTTTAACATTTTTTATTGATTTATAACCATTTTACAATGTTGTGTCAAATTCCAGTGTTCAGCACAATTTTTCAGTCATTCATGGACATATACACACTCATTGTCACATTTTTTTCTCTGTGTCATCCTGCTTTTTCAATTAATGAAATAGATAAACCACTAGCTAACTTATTCAGGGGTA